GGACTGGTTGGAGAAAGCGGAGAGGAGGTCAGTGTATGACATGGTGTCGTGGCATGAAAGAAAGCTGCAAAGGGCTAGCTTTTGTTGGTCCTTCACGACTCCCTGGTTGGGGTTCGAGAGATAGTGCAACACAGTGGCTAGAGACGTTATCGGATATGGCTCAGAATAGAAGCCAGTGGCGATCCTGCTGCAACCTTCTTTTACTTTCTACATAAAGAATGGTTCTAACTTTCCTAACTGAAAGAGTCTTCTGGTTGTACATTTCAGCCCGCCTTATCTTTTCATCCTTTATCTACCTACTTTCATTATTTTGTGTGGCGCATATGTACCTGGTGCCCTTTTGTACCAATATATATGTGTTTAAATAAATAAATAAATAAAAAATATGATTATTATTGTTATCATTATTATTATTACTATTATTATTATTTACTACTTCGCTTTTTCACCCCTTTTATCCCCAATTTGTGTAACCTTACTTTTCAACTTATACAGCAGCTCGCTCTTGGTGGAAAATCTGTCCTATCTAAACGATCTCCAGTCACTGTCTGGTTGAAAGTGAATGCTTCCACCGATTACGAATACTGAAGCAGTCTTTCTGAAACCACGTACGCCGTTCAAGCTGGCTTCCTTCAACGTTCGCACACTAATGAAGATCGGACAACAGATGGGGCTGGCTATGTCTTTGGAAGGTCTTAATGTTGATGTTTGTTGTCTATCCGAGACCCGTATTCAAGACTCTAGTGAAGTACTACAAATCCGCTCTCCATCTGTCTCGAAAAGCTTGTTCCACGTGCGCTTATCCGGGGACCCTGTGGCATCTTCGTCTGGTCTTGCTGGCGTTGGTGTCGCACTAAGCGCTAGGGCTGAGGCAGCACTAATCGATTGGATCCCCATTAACAGTCGGTTATGTGTTGTTAGATTAGAAAGTTCCATCAAAGTGAGAAGAAATCGGCGTGAGAAACGGTGTCTTTTCGTCATCTCCGCCTATGCCTCGACAGATTGCAGCCCGGATGCAATCAAGGATGAGTTTTACCATCAGTTAACAGTTCTTCTCCAGAAAGCGCGTTCGACAGATATTGTAGTACTAGCCGGAGATTTGAATGCACAGGTCGGGCGTCTAGGCACAGAAGAGAGTCGTTTAGGTGGCCGATGGGGACTTGTTGGTCGCAGGACAGATAACGGGGACCGTTTGCTGCAACTGTGCACAGACCACAACCTGTTTCTGGCCAGCACTAACTTCCGGCACAGTCATCGCCGGTGTGCCACCTGGCGTCCTCCCTCTGCATCCCAAGCCTGGACTCAGATTGATCACATCGCGATCAGCTACCGCTGGCGTGGTTGTGTACAAGACTACCGCTCCTTTTGGAGTACCTATCTGGAGTCTGATCATGCCCTGGTCTGCGCCAATCTCACCTTACTTTTCAGTGGCCGAAGGATTGACCACCACCAACGGATTGATATTAGTAAACTGGCTGCAACTTCTGTTGCAAGTAAGTATCGAGCTGAGTTAGCCTCTAGGCTAGCTACCACCCCACCGAAAAGTATTGATGAGCATTGGTTGCATCTTCACGACGCCATGAAAATGGCGGCTTCGCGAAACGTCCCGCTTACAAGCACTGGGTCTCTTCTGGCTCCTTACAACTGATGGAAGCCCGTCGGTCTACTCCGGGTGACCGTGAGTTTGACCACAAACGAAGGCTGTTACGTAATGAAATCGGGCAAAGCTTGTGTAAGGACCGGGAAGCCTGGTGGTCGGAGCGTGCTAATGAGATGGAAGCAGCAGCTGCATCTGGTAACTGCCGGAAGCTCTTCCAACTCATCCGAGCCACTGGCAGCAAGAAGTCTGGTGTGAGTGAAACAATCTACGAGGATGACGGGATGCCAATCACTAACATCTGTCGACGTCTTGGACGATGGGCGGAATTTTTCGAAGGGCAGTTCAACTGGCCTGCTGCTCCGGCAACATCAACCAGCTTGTCCTGCTCCCCATGGCCGGTGACGACTGATCCACCAAACGAGGCGGAAGTCCGCAAGGAACTCCAACTCTTGAAACGTTACAAATCACCTGGCCCAGATGACTTACCTCCGGCTTTTTTTAAAGATGGTGGTGACTTTCTGGCTAAGGAACTGACTGCGTTGTTTGGAAAGGTTTGGGAGCAAGAAAGTGTTCCAACATCTTGGAATGAGTCAATAGTCGTCCCTATCTTCAAAAAGGGTTCACGTTGTTCCTGCAATAACTATCGGGGGATAAGTCTACTTCAGATTGCGTCCAAACTATTGGCTTCTATCATTCTTCGTAGGTTGTTTAAAACCCAAGAACGATTGACTCGCGAGGAGCAGGCTGGTTTTCGTTCTGGTCGAGGATGCATTGATCACATCTTCACCATCCGCCAAATGTTAGAACACCGTCATACTTATCGCAGGCCAACAATCGTAGTGTTTCTTGATATCAGGGCGGCCTTCGATTCGTTGGACAGGACTGTTCTCTGGGATTGTCTATTGAAGAAGGGTGTGCCTGAGAAGTTCATTAACATCTTAAAGGCCCTGTATACGAACACCTCAGGCAGAGTGAGGGCATACAACCACCTTTCTCCCTTGTTCCATTCGAGCAGTGGGGTTAGGCAGGGTTGTCCGATCTCACCATTCCTCTTCAACTTTGCCATCGACGACATCCTAGAAACAGCTCTGATGGATGTAAGTAATGGCGGTGTGGATATGTTGCCTGGAGAACGACTTCTCGACCTTGAGTATGTGGATGATATTGTCTAACTGTGCGATAATGCCCAAGGCATGCAATCAGCACTTAATCAGTTGGCAATCAGTGTCCGCAGGTACGGCATGTGCTTTGCACAATCCAAGTGCAAAGTACTCCTACAAGACTGGTAGGATTCTAATCCTGTACTCACCCTGGATGGTGAGGAGATCGAAGTAGTTGAGAAGTTCGTGTATCTAGGTAGCTATATAAGTGCTGGTGGTGGCGTGAGTGATGAGATTGGTGCACGTATAATGAAAGCCAGAGCGGCTTATGCCAATCTGGGCCATCTTTGGCGCCTTCGTGATGTTAGTCTGGCTGTAAAAGGTCGGATCTACAACGCGTCGGTGAGAGCAGTTTTGCTCTATGCTTGTGAAACCTGGCCTCTTCGAGTTGATGATGTAAGACGACTCTATGTGTTTGATCATCGTTGTCTCCGAAGGATTGCTGACATCCAGTGGCAACACCATGTTAGTAATGCAGAGGTTCGGCATCGTGTGTTCGGGCGCAGAGACGATAATTCAATTGGTGTCACCATTTTGAAACACCGACTTCGGTGGCTTGGACATGTTTTACGAATGTCGTCCCAGAAACTCCCACGCCGTGCATTATTTTCGGACTCTGGGACTGGTTGGAAAAAGCGGAGAGGAGGTCAGTGTATGACATGGTGTCGTGGCATGAAAGAAAGCTGCAAAGGGCTAGCTTCTGTTGGTCCTTCACGACTCCCTGGCTGGGGTTCGAGAGATAGTGCAACACAGTGGCTAGGGACGTTATCAGATACGGCTCAGAATAGAAGCCAGTGGCGATCCTGCTGCAACCTTCTTTTACTTTCTACATAAAGAGTGGTTCTAACTTTTTTAACTGAAAGAGTCTTCTGGTTGTACATTTTAGTCCGCGTTATCTTTTCATCCTTTCCCTTCCTACTTTCATTATTTTGTGTGGCGCATATGTACCTGGTGCCCTTTTGTACCAATATATATGTGTTTAAATAAATAAATAAATTGTAAATACATGCCTTACAACTAGAAATAAAGGTCAAACGTTAGTGAGCGCGACCGAAGTCCCTGAATTGGAATCCCACGTGCGGAATCATGGACAAGCACTGTTGTAATATAATAGGACAAAACGGCCGCCCAGTGTTTACAGGTTTTTAATGGTGGTCTAACATTGATCGGTTCACGATTTAAATGAAAGTAAAAACGAATCGCCTTTTAGTTATGTCCATAACTAACCAATCAAGTCGTCGCCAAAGCGACCACCACGTCAATCTGGTCTGATATATTTGTAGACTATCTCTGTTGCATGAGATCTACCAATTGAAAGACATTATTATCCTATTATATTAGTGTGACTCACAATTTTTATTCATTTCGATAAGACAAGGAATACTGGTTGGTATGTTTGTGCGTTTCACTTGATGACTGTAATTCTTTAATTATTGTACTAATCTAATTGTTTTTATGTTTCGAAACAGATAAAGTTTAAAGTCAAGTTGTCCTTGTTATGACAAGAGCTTTCATATATATTCTGGGTCGTCAGTATCGCGTTTACAGTTACGGTAGAATATCTGTAGAACAAATTAAATCCTGTATCACCTATTGTACAAACAATAGAAATCAGTGGAAGGATGATTGTAGCTTACAGGCAATAAAAAATAACCTGCATTAACTTTTACTAGGTATCTGGCAAAGGTTTACGAGACTAAGTTCCATCGTTTAACACCACGAAACGACAATCTAAAGGGATTTAGTAAAAATACTTGCAGTAAAAATTAACGAGCAGCGAGTGTACCACGATCGTCCACCTACATTTCACATCAAAACATGATCAAGTGTCTTAAATTATTTTACTCGTGGCTATACTAAATTGAATTACTGTCTGATTTCATATTTAGTTTTAACCTAGAACTTTGTACAGATCTGTGTACTCACTTGACTCAGGGGTAGAAATCACGTGAAAGCTGGAGATAGTACTCTAAGATCAGGGGTACAGGATAAAGATAATACTTAATGTTTGATTATCGTGAAAAAAGGTAGAAATATAGTCATAATTAAATCCGCTACAATTTGTGTGACAAGTAATACATTACAGAATTAGGATATTTTCAATCACTAATAATTATGGTCAAATCTATTAACTCGGTCTACATAAAAAGTTTCTAAACTAGACAGAGACAAATGTAAATTTTGCAAACAGATGGGAATGAGATGAAAACACCTATAAGATCATCAAAATAATAGCTTACTCTAACATTTGTATCATCACTACCCGCAAGGATAATACTGCTCGATCGATCCAGTGTAATAACAGCATTTACATCAGCTTTTGATTGCGGATTTACAGCCTTGATTAAAATGAAAAAAACTGAATCTATAAGATCAAAATACAATTAGCTATGTTAAAATATTTGTTATTAATCAAAGCTGGAACGAAAGTTTTACATCCAGTTATAGAACAAAAAAAGTGTTAACAAAGAGAACCTAGACAAAGAATATATGAGAATATCAATTAAGAAACCATGTGTAACTTCATATCCCAAGCCACAATCAACAAATATATACGAGTTACGATTAATATACAACCGCCTATATCCTAACAAATGTAGATCAAAATATGTTAAGCAATAATAAGATTCGATTCCCGAAAACACTAATCCACATCTACATACGTAACTCGAATCATAACTTCTCTTTATCTATCAACTTAGTGAACAAGACATCACAGATTACTGATATGCTAATCTGTTTATCATCACAATGCAGTAAAATACAACTGATTTACTGTAAAGTTTTATGCATATAGAGATGACTATATGGTGGAATCAATTACACATTTACGTGGATGGAAAACACGTAAGAAGTTTCCATTAATGAGGAGCATAGTTGTTCATTGTCGATTTAAAGGATCCGTTCAGTTCACTGTACTGAACATTTTTAACGAGTGATAATTAGTTTATTTTAAAGCTTATAGTTACTGGACAAACTTATTAACCATATTAGTCTTTTATGTATGAACATGGTGCGTATAATTTTATATAAGTGAATAACAAAAAACAGTTTATTTTATACATCTTTGCTACACATGTGCAAAAAATCGAAGTTTACTTAATGACGACCCAAAACTCGTTTGGGTATAAGGTTCACGTTGTTCCTGTAACAACTATCGGAGGATAAGTCTACTTCAGATTGCGTCCAAACTATTGGCTTCTATCATTCTTCGTAGGTTGTTTAAAACCCAAGAACGATTGACTCGCGAGGAGCAGGCTGGTTTTCGTTCTGGTCGAGGATGCATTGATCACATCTTCACCATCCGCCAAATGTTAGAACACCGTCATACTTATCGCAGGCCAACAATCGTAGTGTTTCTTGATATCAGGGCGGCCTCCGATTCGTTGGACAGGGCTGTTCTCTGGGATTGTCTATTGAAGAAGGGTGTGCCTGAGAAGTTCATTAACATCTTAAAGACCCTGTATACGAACACCTCAGGCAGAGTGAGGGCATACAACCACCTTTCTCCCTTGTTCCATTCGAGCAGTGGGGTTAGGCAGGGTTGTCCGATCTCACCATTCCTCTTCAACTTGGCCATCGACGACATCCTAGAAACAGCTCTGATGGATGTATGTAATGGCGGTGTGGATATGTTGCCTGGAGAACGACTTCTCGACCTTGGGTATGCGGATGATATTGTCTAACTGTGCGATAATGCCCAAGGCATGCAATCCGCACTTAATCAGTTGGCAATCAGTGTCCGCAGGTACGGCATGTGCTTTGCACCCTCCAAGTGCAAGGTACTCCTACAAGACTGGCAGGATTCTCATCCTGTACTCACCCTGGATGGTGAGCAGATTGAAGTAGTTGAGAAGTTCATGTATCTAGGTAGCTATATAAGTGCTGGTGGTGGCGTGAGTGATGAGATTGATGCGAGTATAATGAAAGCCAGAGCGGCTTATGCCAATCTGGGCCATCTTTGGCGCCTTCGTGATGTTAGTCTGGCTGTAAAAGGTCGGATCTACAACGCGTCGGTGAGAGCAGTTTTGCTCTATGCTTGTGAAACCTGGCCTCTTCGAGTTGAGGATGTAAGACGACTCTATGTGTTTGATCATCGTTGTCTCCGAAGGATTGCTGACATCCAGTGGCAACACCATGTTAGTAATGCAGAGGTTCGGCATCGTGTGTTCGGGCGCAGAGACGATAATTCAATTGGTGTTACCATCTTGAAACACCGACTTCGGTGGCTTGGACATGTTTTACGAATGTCGTCCCAGAGACTTCCACGTCGTGCATTATTTTCCGACTCTGGGACTGGTTGGAAAAAGAAGAGAGGAGGTCAGTGTATGACATGGTGTCGTGGCATGAAAGAAAGCTGCAAAGGGCTAGCTTCTGTTGGTCCTTCACGACTCCCTGGCTGGGGTCCGAGAGATGGTGCAACACAGTGGCTAGGGACGTTATCAGATATGGCTCAGAATAGAAGCCATTGGCGATCCTGCTGCAACCTTCTTTTACTTTCTTCATAAAGAGTGGCTATAACTTTCCTAACTGAGAGAGCTCTTCTGGTTGTACATTTCAGTTCCCTCCATCATTACTCTTCTCCTTTTCTTTTTTTCCTTCCTCTATATATACGCATCTTCTTCCTTCTCCTCCCATTCTCATTATTTTGTGTGGCGCATATGTATCCGGTGCCCTTTGTACCAATATATATGTGATTAAATAATAATAATAATAATAACAATGTTACTCTACTCCATAATTTGTAAAAATCAATCGAGTTATCCATTTAGCTACTAAGCTGGATAGCCACTGGCTTGTGGAATGGAGATGCTCTTATATCCAGCTAACGAGTTCCAAACAGGGATGAAAAACACGTCCTGGATCCTACTGCTAGCCACTACCCATGTTTGCTTATAATGCAATAATACTTATAAGGCAATATGGAGGCAATCCGAGCAGCATGCCTATATGCTAATAAGAGACTGATCAATTGCAGCCCTAAACATTAATGGGAAGATTAAAAAAACAATACAAAACGAAACAAATAGCCGAGTAGTTTGGAAGTGAGAATCTTCAACTTTTAATCCGTTTTAAATTTAAATGTAAAGCTTAAAAGCGAACAGAGAACTGATGCTAGTCTCTCAGTGATACAAAAAAATTGGCTTAATTTTTCCACTAAAATGATGGCAGCAAATAATTTGAAAGAAACTTTGCAAGCTGACTACAAAATAGAACTAATAAATAAGATGAAACTATGCAGAATAGGATGGCCTAAGTAGTTTTTAACAAAATGAAATTTGAAGGTATAATAATAATACTTACGAACGATTCATATTTATTTGTCTGTAGATCCGTCACATAAACCATACCTTTGTTATGTCTAATGAGAAAAAAGAGACAAGATAAATAGAAAGTTTGTAGTGGAAAATGTGACAAATATAATCTAATCAATACCTATAAGAAGATAATCATCTGAGTTGGAAATAGTGGAATAGTTAAGTTTTAGAGATTAACGAGGATAAAATCATGTTGCAAAATGATAAGGTGTCTAAGAATTAGTCCCAACAATCAGGTTTTTATAGATTGGAGAGTACGTGACATATGAAGAAATTTTCTCCAATTGCTTACGACATTTTGTATTTACTGTGTTAGTATTTTCTATGTCAGCATGTGAATTTATTACATGTTAAACCTATTTTTCTGACTAGTGGTCTTGTTTCGATATCACACTGTTCCAAGGTTTAATTCAATTATTCGTTTTTATGAGTAGCTATTATTTATCTACATCACGTGGTTGAGTATGTCTATCGACTGGGATTCTACATATTGATTTTGACAAACGAAAATTCTCTCATGAAATCACTAAAGGTCTCCTCCATAACGTAATAAGACAGAGAAATGAAACTTTTAATGATATCATAATGATATCACGCTTTCAACTATGATAAATACTAAATCTCCACAAAACCACTTCTATAATTAATAAAGGTTTAAGTTTAAAAGCCTTTACTTCAAAATAGAAACAATTTGAGAACATGAACATTGAAATTGTATGGATGTATCAGATGGACAGCAAGGATTTGAATGGCTATTACAAAATCAAATTTTGAAGTTGATGAACGGACAAAAGAGGTCATTATAACCATTAGAATTTTTCCGTTGCAAGTAAAATAACGGGTACTGCCATCTACAGCTTTGGACAGATAGGAACTCATTTTCAGCGAGTCCTAAATGTTGGCACTTTGCGTCAACTACGTAGTAGTGTCCAGTTATTTTTGCAATACATTTGTAGAAGCCAATTATGCTTGTGTTTTTGATTTGGCATTTAAAAAGATTGTGTTATATCGATTGAGTATGAGCCCTGTTTAGTATATGAAGTGATAATACCGCCAGTAAGAGCAGTGTATTTATTGATCGCCCAACACAAAAGCGTTATGAGCAGTATGGAGTACTGCTCGGTCCTGCTATCTGCCTAGCTCAGCCAATTAAGTCCAGAACACCAATAACAGCCTCTGAAATATGAATCATTATTGACAAACATACAGGGTATATATATACCAATCAAACAGACCACATCGTATCATAAAATAGAAAACATTTGTACAAGATTTAGCCAAATGTGGCTGTTAATAAGGGGAACAGTAATCAATAGACTGGGGATAACTCAAGAACGGTATATCGTATAATAATAGTTCATAGGTCAAAATAAAGCTTAGGATAAGAGGAACACGAATATGAAAAGTTAAGTTACTTAGCAAGTATACAATAGGAAAAATATATATTACATTTGTCTCTAAATAGTTCACAAAGTTACCATTCATAATTTTCCACAGAATACCACAGATTGTCACAAACCTATGTGGGAGAATAAATTTTTCAGACAGCTGTCAGTTAGCTGGTCAGAGTAAGAAAAGTGTAACGAGCTGCTGGTTTTAGAAAACACTGAAAGGAATCTTAGGCTGTCTCGGCTATCAGTTGACTGGGGTTCCAACGAAACCATAAATGAATTGTAAAACCGGCCACTACCCTGACTTTTAGTGGAAGATATTGAGCCTCACGTTACAACGAAAAGGAAATAGTCTTGACTAATTTGAAGGCTCAGGTGTACTGGGACAAGTGACCACAGTTTACATCAGCACAGTAAGGCGAAGATAATAGACCAAAGTGAATGAAACAAATAGAGTTACCAATAGAAATAGACAAAGAGGATCAATGAATGATTGTTTCGTATGCTTAACGGCAACGTTTTACAGTAGTATTTCAGGGTAGAAGGCAATAATGTGTAACAGACATGTAACGGACATCCTAATATTTTGTTTGTGTCTGAAGATCTTAGGGATCTTGATTGCAGTAGCACAGTTGCATTCCTCCACCAAATTTGAAATTATGAGCTTCTACATAGTTTTATGCCTTTCATTTTCTTGTTAAATTCATTCTATTCAATCAACATTTCCTGTTTGATTTTTTTGCATCACTGACGCAACTAATATTGCCAAGATGTTGATATGTATTTTGCTAAGTTTTATTGTCTCTTGTTGTGATTTATACGGCAGCCTAGGTAGATGAACATATAGGGGGCCAAAAATGATGTGCATTGGGGATGGCGGGTAAGCCAACTAGCTTTTATCGAGCGCTAATCAATACTTATAGTCAGATAAAGAAATACGTTACAGACATGTGATGAATAGGATAAGAAGTGTACACACATACGATCGTATAAAAAACAGTCAGGGTTGATAAGTGAATCATTAGCAAGGTCAAAACGTAACTGAAGATGGATAGGTGAGTTGGCTTGTCCAGAAGCTAGAATAAGGTGTATGGGCTTAACATAACAACCGACACAACAAACATTTATATCAGAACATAGGTTGCTTATACGTGAAAACTTCCTCCTGGATTGTATGAGGTCTAACTAATACTTACAGAACGGAAAGATTTGTACAATAGCTATAAAGATTTATGATTATTTCGAAGAAATTACTTATAGACAAACTTTTGCACATATTTATAAGTCAATTTGTTAGCGGGACACAGATTGGATTAAAGCGTGTTTCATGCATGATGGTGTTGTTGAGCGCTGATTGGTTAATTCTAAACCAATCAGCCCTGGTAAATTATTGGAGAAAAATCTAGAAGCTTCTTATGTATATGCTATAAATATATGAACGTTATTCAAATCAGTGATTGCTGTTCACTCATCATTATTATTTTGAATTCAGTTTCATTCCTGTTCAACGTGTTCTGATTTTGGGGTCTTGTTGAGTGTCATTGTATAAGAATACTAAGCAATAGGAATAGCTGGGTCGTTTATTAGCAAAATACATTTATAACACAATTAAAAACTGAGTGATAAAAATGTTGACAAGCAAAGTGTCGTAAAGGAAATCCAACAGTTCAAACAACAATAATAAAATAAAATGCCATTATAGATAGAGCGAAATACCTTACCCACTAATCACTTGATTATTACTCCCGCCAAGAAAATCAACACTAAACGTTTTTGTTATATTTCTTTCACCAGGTTGAAGTTCAGTATGCTTGAGATTCAGCTCCTCATTACGCACATCGGTTAGATTGGTGAAATACACTGAAATAAAGGTGAATGTTAAGATGAAGGTAAAACATTGATGAAATGAAACAAACATATCATAGTAAAGTCTGTATTTTAAAGTAGACGTTTTCATTTTGAAGCTTATCGTCCACTCTCGACATTATTAATCATTACCAGTATCAAATGACTTTTATTTATAATATTTACTCGAGTGAACTCGAAACCAGGCAAGGCTAAATATAAAGAACGATTCGAAAGAAAAAAAATGGGACGATATTATAACTTTAGATACAGAAATTAAGAATTAGTACAAATGTGACGTTGTGATTGATTTAAGACCATATCAGACGGATCCAACTACACATGAAAATGACCACCCCAATCTTAACATGGAGTAGGTCCCTCCAGATATAACTCAAACCTATAGCCAGTAACATAGACTGATGATATGTCTTAGTTTGATACTTTTAACCAACTATGTTGTCCAAAACTGATTGTCGGTGACCTGGATGGGTGACACATCTAACTACATTAATTGAAGTATCCCAATTTCATAAAACGCGCAAAAACTCAAGTTATTAAGGAGACATTCTTGCCGGCTGACTGATCAAAGATGATGCGATTCCCCATAAACGTATGATCCTCTCAATCTTCAGAAATAATCGCAATGGATCAGTTGGTCTGTGTTAATCACAGTAGCGTTTCTGTGGAAGTCCAGTTTAATCTGGCAGTTCTACGATAAAAACGGAATTTAACACTGAGTTTGTACGATCCCCATTTCCAACTTTCTGTGATTTACACACTCAACTACTTAATTCCGACTAGTTGAGAGGGATGACACAGAATCCCATGAGAACATTTTTATTAAACTTACACAAGCTAGCGACTGAGTTCTTAGGTAGAATCTGGGAACTGGACGTAATTCCATCTGACTGGTCCCAATCACTGATTGTGCCAGTCTATAAGAAAGGACAAAAGTCCTCCTGTGACAATCACAGAGGGATCAGTTTGACTAATATAGTGTCTAAAATATTAGCTTAAATAATACATAGGCGCCTAACCAAAGCTCATGAAGAGCAGACTAGAGAAAACCATGCTGGTTTCCGACCTGGACGTGGTTGCATAGACCAGATATTCACCCTACATCAGGTCCTAGAACATGGACATACATTCAGACGTCCCACGATAGTAGTATTTCTTGACCTTAGGACGTGTTTACTGTGCAGCAGTTCGCTCCGTCCTACTTTATGACAGTGAAACATGGCCGATAAGAGTAGAGGATATTCGTAGGCTACTAGTTTTTGATCATAGGTGTCTTCGAAGCATTGCTCGTATATCCTGGGACCACCGGGTAAGTAATGCAGTTGTTAGGAAACGAGTACTAGGTAGGGATGGCAAATCGATTGATGAAGTAGTGAAACTTCATCAGTTGAGATGGCTGGGACATGTGTTACGTATGCCCAACCACCGACTGCCCCGACGTGCAATGTTTCATGGTGTAGGAGTAGATTGGAAGAAAGCTAGGGGCGGCCAGAACAAAACGTGACACAAATCAATGGAATCACTGACAATTGGACTGAGCCATGTTGGTAGGTGTAGACTACCTGGTTGGGATTCGCGAGATGATAGCAACCGATGGTTAGAGACCTTGAATGACATGGCTCAAAATCGTTTGCAATGGCGAAGGTGCATCCACTTTTTGTGTTCTACCAACTTCTAATCTTCTGAATTCCCCATGTCTCTATTTTTTTCTCTTTCCAAATTTATTTCACTGTACTATACTCCTTCAATAATTTCTTAAAACCCTAATCTTTTGGATTTCTGATTATACTCTTACTACTTCTACCACTATGGGATTTGAATCGACAACTTCATCTCTGTGCTAATGTGGTATGGCAACTCGAACTGATGTACGTACGTACGAAGTTCTACGTTGTGACTGACTGATTGACGATTTATAAAACAAAAATGGGTTTGAGAAAAATCGGGAAACTCTATATTCTGACAAAATGGACGTAGTAACTAAAATACCCATTGAAAACAAAACATTGAAATTTAAATCTCAATACAAATAAATATATTTACTTACAAATAGGAGACAAACTGCAGAAAACAAGGGTATCCCCCAAATTGCTAGAAAATTTTGTAAGTAATGACAATGCACACACCTTAAGGAGAGTGACACAATACTCCAGGTATATTCAGGAGCATTAATCTCATTCATGTAACGAAAATAATGTCCAGAAGAATCAAACACTCGAATAAACCCATCTGTACAAAAATTACAATTAGCAATCCCATATTCACCTTGCGAAGCAGTGAAGAAAAGGTCACCAGAAGAATTATATATACCGCAGTAGACATCGTTATAACATCCTAGTGACCACAAAATCTCATTTGGAATAGCTTGACTTAGGAAATATGACTTGAAAGCATTAGAGAAGCTTTTTCCTTTCAAAGAGATCTAAAAAGGATAGAGTATCCGAATAATAATTACATTGTTGACTTCATTTATGATGTTTAACCTCCTTGTATCCAAAAGGTCACAACAGCCTTTGTAATCTAATTGCATCCTCAAAATAACACCATTTAACGCCAAATCTATTTCACTTTCGTGCAGTATAAACGAAAATTCGTTAGGACGATATGAAGAAACGGTCAGATGTCAAACCTCTAAAAGTTAAAATAAGAGGCCAATAACATATGCAAACGCGGAAAAAGATTCGATGAATAGAGGAAAAGACACAGTGCGTAAGCAAATCCAGATGAAATAAGTGTGACGTTCAGCTTTTGAGTACGTTAACGTCTAGCCTGTAAGTGCCTTGTATGCTAAGACAGTGAGAGTCTAGAAGGGAAAAAAACAACCGGAAATGTCAGCCGACGACTCAGCAAGTAGACGGAATACACTTCCAATATTCAATACCTTTGTTACGAGCATGTGGAAACCGATTGATTTCGTTGCATTTACTTCTTCTTGTTTCGGTACGTCTCCAGATATTTGGTTATGTACAATGGGTGGTAGTTTGGCTATTCGATTGCATTAGTTTCTAACCAGTTTGGTAGATATTTGAGGATTTATATATCTTGTAGTTGAGTGAGTGCGTTTGTCTTGACAGTAGGATTTCTGGACACCAGTTGTAGGATTTAATTTGTCCAACAGTTATACTATTAGAACTGTAGACGCGATACTGGCGATCCCACAGTCTATGTGAAAGCTATAGTCAGAGCAAGGACAACTTGACTTTAAACTTTATCTGTTTCGAAACATAAAAACAATTAGATTAGTACAATAATTAAAGAATTACAGTCATCAACTGAAACGCACAAACACACCAACCAGTATTGCATGTCTTATCCAGATGAATAAATTGTATGAGTCACATTAATAATAATAGGATAATAATGTCTTTCAATTAGCAAGTCACATACAACAGGGATAGTTTAAAGACACACCAGATCAGATTAACGTGGAGGGAGCTTAAGCAACGATTTGATTAGTTAGTTATGAACATAACTAACACTAGTAGCTATCACATTACCAGGTAGGAGGTTGGTTGGTGTGAAAATAATAGTGATAAATCGAGTCCTAAGAGGTGATTGTTTCAAGAATAAATAGACAACTTACTTAATTAATAATACGTAAGGAGACGGAATTGAAAAAATAAGAGGGGAAACGGAGATGATAATAGGAAATATAAGAATTAGTTAATGACATGCGGTAATGATAACTATGTTGATTTATAATACATGAATCAGAAACAGCTGGTTCAAGAGGGTTATGGTACTCCATGGGTCAGTACGTATTTGCCAAATTTCCTCTTAAAGTCATCCCCTGAAAGGGCCGTGATCATATCGGCTGAGAGTGTATTCCAAATGCAGCCAACCATTGGAGAGAAAAATCAGTGTGCCTGGGTGTTTACTTTTTGATATGCAATCATTCGAGGGTTGTCTTAAAGTGAGTGGTGAAGATGTTCTGGTAACGTCCTTGTGATGGGGTGGCTTGACACAATAAAAATGCCGTATGCCATTATCATATCACTTCTCATCCTCAAATAGCTCACTAGCAATAATCCCAGGCGTTAGAGTCCGTCCACGTAGCCTTATCCCCAAATCGGTTACTCGTCTTTTTACCTACACTAACAGTTTTATGGCTCTATAGAACAGAAGAACTCAACCTGTAGCCCCTCTGCGGGCTACTGCCGGTCCAAAACCCGGATAAAGGAGGAGGGTTGGGCATGGGTTTAACGATCTCATCCCGTAGAAAACTAACTCGCTACAAAATCACTAACCAGAAAAAAATATTCAAACCATTTAAACTCTGTCCTGGGAGTCAGAAGGTCTTCATTTAGAAGAGTTATGACGCCTCATGGTGAAAGCCAAGTTCCTCCGGAAGTCACGAGGCCAATGCACCTTCTGATAACCAGAGCAACCATTTATATAGGTACACGGAATGCTCGTACAATGCGGGAGACCGGGAGAGTCTTCCAAATTGCTGCAGAAATGATGAGATACAACCTGGAGGTGCTTGGAAACAGTGAAACACATTGGACGCAGGTTGGACAACAACGACTAGCTTTAGGGGAGCTTCTGTTATACTCTGGACATGAAGAACAAAATGCCCCACATACACAAGGAGTTGCATTGATGCTGTCCAAACAAGCACAAAATGCACTTATAGGATGGGAATCTTATGCACCAAGGATCATCAAAGCCTCCTTCAAAACAAGGAAAGAGGGCGTTACAATGAACGTCATAAAATGCTATGCGCCTACCAACGACTACAACGAAGACGTTAAAAATCAATTCTACGATAGGCTGCAGTCAATCGTCGAGAAATGCCCAACAAAGGACCTGACCATTCTGATGGGGGAATTAAATGCCAAGGTTGGAATGGACAACACCGAATATGAAGGCACCATGGGACGACATGGACTTGGAGAAAGGAACGAAAATGTTGAGGGATTTGCAAACCTATGTGATTTCAATAAACTGATCATAGGCGGCACTATATTCCCACACAAACGCATTCACAAAACCTCATGGACTTCACCGGACCACACTACGCACAACCAAACTGACTATCTGCATCAACCAGGAGAGGAGCTGATATAGCATCGGATCACCACTTGCTGGTCGCCAAGATGAAATTAAAACGCAAGAAGCATTGGACAACGGGGCGAACATCACAAATGTTTAATACGGCTTTTTTTCGGGATGCTAACAAACTCAACGAATTCAAGATAGCCCTCAGTAATAAGTTCTAGGCCTTCTATGATCTACACAATGGAGAGGAAACTACCATGGAGAGCAACTGGAAAGGGATAAAAGAGGCAATCACTTCAACATGTCAGGAGGTTCTGGGTCACAAAGAACAACACCACAAGGAATGGATCAATGTTGGTACACTGGATAAAATTAGAGAAATGAGGAGCAAGAAAGCAGCAACCAATATCAGCCGAACAAGAGCAGAAAAAGTCAAGGCACAAGCCGAATATATAGGAGTAATTTATTTTTAATTAATTTAAACAAATGAATATTAGTACAAAGGGGCACCAGATACATATGCGCCGCACAAATCTCATTTGAGTGTGAGGGCTGGAATACTGCTTGGGTGTTCAAACCGACACAGGTGGTTTCCTTAGGGGGCCACACCTGGAGCCTTTGACCTAAAGATCTGATCCACAATGCAGTGGAGCATCGTAAGGTGATGCAGTCCTATGGTGGCCGGTGACCAACGACTGACTCATACGCCATTTGTTCCTTCAGGATACTGGAGCCCATGTGCACCATTGGTTTGTAATCAGGGTTTTCCAACTCCCCTGGGTGCATTTTCCGTATCCACCAACCCGGTTAAAGCGCCGGATATTCGCTTTTCGTTCTTTCAATTTCGTAAACAACGGTAGTGCCACGAAAAGGCAGTTAGTAGGACTTCTCTGGCAGAGGCTATATACGCGCGGCTATGTGAGAGCATTTAGAGAGAGCTGACTCTCCCTACTCTCGGCCGTACCAGGACATTTAGGGGAGTAATGCGGCTGGTCTGTAACAAGCTGAGTTTTTTCTATCTTCTTACTGAAGATTGCGGAGAGAGTGCCTCGCTTACATTCTTTTGGCAGTTGGTGTAAATCGGTGAGTGCCTGAACACGTGACACACTAGTGTACTGATGGCCTCTGCGTACTGTTTCAGGATTATAGGTCGGTTGTTATTACATCCTGATTTTCTTGGGCGCAGGGATTTTAATCTCTGAAATACAATTTCATGATTTATCTGAATATCTTCCAAACCCTCAACTGCCACCAAAATTCAGAGTTACTTCGCGCTTCCAAACTCCTAATTTAGTTGGTCTATCAAGTTGGCTATTGAAATCTTAGCCATTTGGCCCTTTAAGAGTACAGATCCCTTAGCTTGTGGGCTTTCTCCTGGTTATGATTCAGTAGAGAAGTTTTGGGTCAGCTTGAATTTCGGCCGCTAGCTTGGCCTGAAAACATAACCTACTGCTGCAGAATTTGGCGTTGCACCTGTTTCTCAATGTCAAGTAAAAGCTAAGATTAGAATCCTTCACGGTAACTTCTGACTTTCCCCAGGCTCATCGATTGGCCAGTAGCACGTGTTCTGTGACTTGTCTAACAGAATCTTCGCTCTCCGGGTGTATGCTTACGCTGGGGTACATTGTGTTGGATAGCACACTGAATCATATCCCCAAACATCTACCAGTGGTCACCCATTGTTAGCCCCCACCACTCTCATGAACATAGGGTGTGTTGAAGATTCGCCCTCATCTTCGTGTAGTCTGCTCTAGTGTAGCTAATGTAGAAAACATACCCGTCTCTCCAAAGTACCATGTCTGCAACCACGTTAAATATAATTGTACCATGGTTGCTACTCATTATTGGTGTGTGAGTATGGACATCCTCAACTATAAGCTCATCATGTCAGTAAATAATTTAAATCTGAAGGTTTTCCGTCCCTGTGCCACATCTTTATTCAGTCCTGAACTTCTAATGGATGTGGTTGGTTCTCGAGTATTTTCAGATCCTCCAGCATCTCTTGTGGCTCATGGCTTGCCGTGTCCAACTCAGACTTAAGAGGATCGCTTAGCCGATGTTTTCTGGGACGTCAGCAAAATTTATTCTGCAACGTGTGATGAACCTAAAGTTACCCTCAGTGGAGAGGGCTCACCTTCGCTACATCTTAGCCTTCACACAGACAGTATTGCTTGGCTGAAGTGATAATCTTTCCTCGCACCGCACAGTATATGTCCCATTGTTCTTTATCAGAATGTGGTGTTTATAGGAATCAATGATTTCTTTGTATTGATGACTGTTTTGATTTTGAATTCCAAATACAGTGCATTCGTTCGTGCACATCTAATACTTCTTGATTAAACTATGTGATTGCTGGGATCACTAGTTCATACTATAATTCAAATACTTCAATTCATAACACAGAGGCAATTCTATTTTTTAATACGCTGTTCTCCGAAACTGGAACATTAAGTAAAACGTTTGAGTTGAGTGATCCATGCTGTACATAACAACTTGAGGTTCTTTTCCTGGTTTCGCCTCGAGCTTTTT